GGGACAACCCCAATACTAGAAATGGCGCGCGCTTACGGTCTCCGTCCCCGATTATGGCTCCTGCCAAAATTTATTTTTCTTCAAACTAAAGCGACTCATTTTTAGACGATGATGACAGCTGTGAATGAGGTCAACAACAATAAAACAAAGGTACGGGATGAATTTATTTTTCGTAGTGTTTCGTTTGTTTGTTTTACTGCCGAACTTGATGTGTAAATTGATGCACAATCGATGTAAGTTTACATGTAAGCTTATTATTAAAACTACGACTGCATGCGTGTATGAAAACGAACAGTCTGTTTTGGTCGTTATTCTGTGTTTCACCTCTGAAAATTATACTGAAACAATTATTCGCCTCAGGCTCGGTGAACATAGGTGAATATTCACCGCGACTTTGTCTCAGTGAATATTCACCAACGTTCACCTCGCCTTCGGCGAATAATTGTTAAATATAGATCTAGCCAAGCCTAAAAGCGAAGATCCTGATTGCAATGATTAACCATAAAGTAAAAAGAGAATTTGTTTTTCTTGGATCAGAAACTCAGCGTGTGATTTTGCTAATTTTTCCAGTTAAATCTTAACAAACTATACCCAATAAGTGTCAGTAAGCGTGACTAAGATTGTAGAAAGTACGCACGCAATATATCAGGGACTTTCCAAGATGATTGTGCAAGAAATATATCGGAGGACAAGTCACCAACGCGCAGGGGTCAATTCGCGTCGAAATTTTGCCTTTGCACGTATTCCCTACTTCTTGCCAAGAGTAATAATCTTACCCGAGCCCGCAATCCAATGGAAAACCAGTACCTAGTCAGCGGTCAACTTCAAAAACAAACGCTACCTCGATGAGTTCTAAACTGAGCCCGCGATATGGTCACGTGACATTGGTCAGCAGATACCTTGTTTTGACAGCTGTCAATTAAACAAAACTCGAATGTCCAAATGTTAATGGTGCTACTATCTTATTTTTCAAGGCATTGGCTTGGCGTACGAACGTAACGGACGTACGGACGTACGGATAGTCACGTGACAAACGAATTTTTTTAGATTCTGGGTTACCAAATTTTCTAAGGTATGGGGTTCCGCTTGCGCGTCTTCGGCGCGCAGGAGCTTTGCCATTAATCTTAATTATGATATAAATAACACTATAAATAAACAGGAATTTTACAGACTCTAAAGATGATACTGTTAAATCAAGATAAGCATAGCGTCTGACTAGTTATGGTTGAAGTAATCTGGAAGTAATATTACGTTAGCCTGCGTACATCTGTCCCCTTCCCTCAGAAAAAATCGGGAGAGGGACCCGATTTTATTGAGGGGAGGCTGCGGATGTACACAGTCTATAGCTGGTTTTCACATGACGTCACTAAAATTCGAACTACAAAACTATTGATCTTCCTGAGATTTTA